CTCTCTCTCTCTCCCTCTCTCTCCATCCCTCCCTCCCTCTCTCTCTCTCCCTCTCTCTCCATCCCTCCCTCCCTCTGCCTTTATCTCTGTCTCTCTCTTTCTTTCTACAGTGCATTCTCCAGCGGCGGGTGCCCGACCTCCTGGCGCTTCCCCCTGCGGCGTTGCTGCATCGCGTCATTACCCTGTCCGCCCGTTTGTTTGTTTTCCCGTAAATCTGCCGCGCGAGTCGATCTGGGCCGCCCGACCCCAAAGGGCACCGCCGAGCTGCTTTGCACTTGCCTCACGCGGCCCGTGTTTTGTTTTCCCCTTTATCGCGGATCCCCGTGATTCCGTGTTGGGTCTGGCGCGGCCGGCCTGCGCGGAAGACTTGAGCACTGCTACCGCGTTGTTCAAACGTAACAACGGCTTCTTTGGCCCGAGCTAGGCAGGTCAAGAGAGGTTCTATGCATAATTTCTTCAGTTACTGAATTAGGCTACCTGTAGTTAAGCATTTAAAATTAATCCTTCATGACTTTTACATGCGTTTATCTTGCTCTTGCGGGTTCACGAAGTTAACTATGAGGAGAAGGGGGCGGGTGAATAAATGTTTTCAAAGAATAAAACCACTCAAATGTTACCAGTGTTATTGTACATTTTGCGTGGGCGGATCGAACCTGCTAACCTCTGTTGCTGCTTGCAAGAGATAATATTGCGATGCCCCAAAACGCCCAAAACTTAGCTCTCTGTCGTGCAGTCTTGTCCCCCAGGCGACAGTGCAGTGGTGCAGTGTGCCCAGCCCGGGCAGCGACCGTGGCGCGCGAGGCTGGCCGTCTGGAGCACGCGCCGGGAGCAGGGCAGGGCGGGGCGGGGCGGGGAAGGGCGGGGCGGGGCGGCGGGTATTGCACCGCGCGGCCCACCACGCCACGCACCGCGGGGAGCGTTCACACGCACGCCGGCGAGCAGGGACCCGCGGCAGTGAGGGACGCGGGGGGGGGGTCTATTTCTTTTTATGTATTTCAGCGTGCGAGTCGAACAAATTGGGATGGCATTGGTATTGCAGCAGGCTGCACATTGGTATGTGTGGGAGGAGTGACGCACAAGAGTGGGGTCTGCGGCAAGCGAGCGGGTGGGCTGGGCCGGCGCTAGCAGCCGTTGCGGGTGTGGACAGGCGCCGTCAGACACGCGTGCTGAGCGGGAGGCCTACTCTG